GCTTTCCTCTATCCCAAGAATGCAGCTATGAGAAATGAAAAGCAATCACATATAAATGCTCACTCCACCGTCTACACTCTCCAGAGCTGGCACAGGAGGAAGGAGGTAGAGGATGAGGGTGGGATTTCAGAAGGACAGTTCTCTACCTTGAATGGCTTCTCTAGTTCATGAAATCTTAAAGAAGGACAGAACCATTCATTTCTAACCTGAAAAAAAAAATGGTAAAATCATCTTCCTGTTAGGAATATTCTGGTTTGGGTTTTTGAGTTTTCTCATTGTAGAGATTTTGTCTGCATTCTTGTATTCACAGCAGAACTCTTTTTTTTAACTGTCTTTTTGAACCCCAACATGCAACACAAGTAGCTCCGTGGTTGGTGACACACCTCACTTCCCCAAGACTCTTGGGAACAATCCCAACCTCTTTGGGACATGATAAGCAAACCGCTGATCTTGCTTAAGCAGCTGACTTTATCAGTGAGGAAACATAATCCTCCTAGAGAGTGAAAATGGCCTGCTACAGAAGTGAAACTAGTTAGTGGTGAATTCCACATAAATCAGATGTCCCAGACTGACAGCCCAGGGGACAGTTGTAGCCCACAAAAGTATTTGCTTTGGCCCACACATTACTGCCCCAAACAGTGTTTTAGAGAATTTTTGATTTATTTGCCAACATTTAAAAACCAGGAGATTACACATAAAAATCAAGGGTTTTGGCTTCTCTTAAAGTTTTTGGAGATTTGGCAGCCCAACATCCTCAATCCCTTGGGGCACTAAAATGTGGCTGCCCCCCTCTATGGAACCTGCAATCTCAGGTTTGCTACAGTCTCCACCATCGAGCCTGCATTGTTGTTTTCCTAACTTCATCCCTCTCTGGGTATTTATGTTACCAATCTGACCCTTAAAGTCATTTTTGAGGTCCCTGCATAAAGCTTAAATTAAAAATATCTTTAGCAAAGTAAAAAGAGCAACTTTCATTCCCACTAAAGTGTAAATGGAGTATACTTTTAAGTTTTTTTTAAATTTTTATTTATTTTGAGAGAGAAAGAGCAAGCTTGGGAGGCACAGAAAGAGAGGGAGACAGAATCCCAACCAGGCTCCACGCTGTCAGCACAGAGTCCGACGTGGGGCTCAAACTCAAAAATCCTGAGATCATGACCTGAGCCCAAATCAGGAGTTGGACACTTAACTGACTGAGCCACCGAGGCACCCCGGGAGTATACTTTTCTGAAAGTAAGTTTTTTAATATGTGGAAGACATTTTTGGGACTCTGAGGAGCAAATAAAAAGTGCACCCCATTTTGGGAAGCTTTTCCTAGCATTATTCTCAGGTAATTTTCAAAGGACCCCTAGAAGTAAGAGCTCTTATTCAACTAAGGTTGTCAGATACAGCAAATAAACATATAGGATGACCCAGTTACAAATGACTTGCTGTTTATCTGAAATTCAAATGCAACTGGTTCCCTGCATTTTATTTGGTAACCTTATATTCACTGCCATTTTGAAAACGAAGAAAGAGTAGCTCCATTGGTCACTCTACAACCACAAAGCTGTATAAGAAAATAGAGCTCCATTCTCAGGCCCAGTTATACTGGGGATGTGCTCCACAGTGGTGAAAAGAAAGCCCAAAAGACCCTTTAAGCATGGTGCTGTGAAGTCTAGAGAGCCAATTGAGAAGGCAAGATTGTGGTACTGTGGCAGCTTTGAGAACTTTCTGGATGTCCATTCTAATTATTCAAGCCTGATCATTCCCTGGGGATTTGAATGGTCCTCACCTTGATTTGCATTCTTCCAGGAGCCAACAATGAGGCAAAGACATGAGTGCAAGTCTTTTATTTGGGAATAATCACAAGGTGAGTTGAAGAATAGGAAAGTGAAAGAAGGAAGGGAAGGCAGTCAAGGAAGAGTGTGTTAATGGGAAGGTAACCCCCAACCCACCCATCTATCAGCTCCTGTTGCCAGAGAAAATACAGGCAAAAAGTTGCAAGTTCTTATAGAAATGATAAGTAACAAGGGGATATAACCTGAACACCAACAGCATCTGCTCCAGGTACATATACTTTCTTTCCTTACAAGTAACCTATCCATCTCACAACCCAAACATACCAACCAAGGAGTACTCTTGGTTATGGGGGGATCACCATCATCTTTCAGGGTTCATTTAAGGATACATTTTTATTTTTAATTTTTTACCCTTTTTTAAAGTTTATGTGCATATTTCTGAGAAAGAGAGAGCATAAGCAGGGGAGGGGCAGAGAGAGAGAGAGAGGAAGACACAGAATCCGAAATAGGCTCCAGGCTCTGAGCTGTCAGCGCAGAGCCCTACACTGGGCTCAAACTTACCAACCATGAGATCATGACCTGAGCCATAGGTGGACACTTAACAGACTGAGCTACCTAGGCACCCCCAGGGTTAATTTAAATATTAAATAAATCATCAATCCATAGATGGTAATTGGACCATAGAAAAAAAACCTTAGGAATGTCAAAATCCTTACAGGAGATTTCTACTACAAATCTAGATCTAAACTGTGATATCACTGCCCTCACAGCAACCTGATCCAGGGTCTTAGATTCTCAAGGGCATTGTGTGTAACATGTCATTGCCAGTTCCTCTGTGTCCTCAGTGTCACGACATCCTCTTCGTTCTTACTGTTTCACCCTGTCCCAATGTTTGTCATGAATCTCACTCCCCTGGGCGGGGGGGGGCGGGCTGCCTTGTATGTGCATAACGTGATAAATCAGTTATTTTTAGGGAATTGTAACTGACAGATAAATGGGCTTCTTCTCATAACATTTTATGGGATTTTCTGGAAATTAAAAGCAGTACAGGGAGGTAAGGAGCCACGACTCTTCAGCCAGGCTGTCTAGGTCTGAATCCTGTTTCTACCATTTATGAGTTGTGTGATTCTGGGCAAGTTATTCATCTGCTGCATGCCTCAGTTTCCCAGGTGTAAAATGGGCTTAATATAGTACTATTCTTTGGGCTGCTCTGAGGATGGATTCTTTAATATTTGTTCATCTGTTTTGTTTCTAAAATTCCACATATGAGTGAAATCATATATTTATCTTTCTGACTATTGTTTGTAACTGTTTTTTAAAAAACATGCCACAACATTTTTCCACACCACCACACTCTTTCTCTCATATCACTAAAAAAATTGATTCCATTTTTAATGCACCCTATTTTGTTTTACAAACAATCTCCAAATATGGGGACATTTGGGTTTTTCTTTTTTCTAAGTTTTCTCCTATTAAAAATAACAAAGGCAGGAGAATCCATGCAGAGATGTTATTCTTCAAAGTCATAATTATTTCCTTGCAATGCCTAGAAGAAGACTTACAGCATCACATGGAATTCATACTTTAAAATTTTGATAAACAATTGTCAAACAATCTTCTAGAAATATGATTCCACCTTACACTCTTCTTATCAATATTTGAAAACAACCGCATCACACTGTATAACCTGAAAATGGTAATTTGATATTCAGAAAATAAAACATATAGTTATAATTTATACGCATTTGATAATTGGGGAAATTGAATACTTTTCATATGTTTATTGGCCATTTTTATGTGTCCATTTATGAATCTCCTATTTGTCCTTTTCCACTTATATCTCTTCATCTATTTGGGGTTAGACGTTATTTCATTATTCAAGTATAGGGGCTTTTCACACAGAAAGGTCATTAACGCTTTGCAGCCTCATAATTTCAATTTGTTTTGTTTGCCACTTGTTTTATCAATTTTTGTAGAACTTTGACAGCATAGAAGTTTCTGGGTTTTTGTGTTGATTTGTTGGCTTTTGTTTTAATGGTTGTTGTCTATGGCCTTTGAAAGCCATAAGAAAGGAAAGGCCTTTCTTATTCCAACTGTAAATAGACAGATACTGGTTTTCTTCTCCTCCTTCCTTCTCCTTCTCCCTGCCCGTATTTCAGGTTTCTCATGGACAAATGGCTGGGTCCTAAGGTCACTTCTCTGTGTGTGGTCCTAGAATTAAAAAAAAAAAAAAAGTTCTAGACTGTAACCTAAGTCTGTCCAGCAAAAGCTCACTCTGTCATGCTGATGTCCCTAGCAGAATTCTATGGTAGACATTTCAAGAAGGGAAGTAAATCCATAAGATCGGTAATACTTAGAACTGAAATGCTTTAAAATAGTATTTAGTTCCCGCTCCTTGTGCCTGAATTTCCTGCCCTGCTTAGTATAAAAAGAAGTCAGATAGGAGTTTTATAGGAGGTTTTGAAGTTGGGGGGGGGGGTGGGTAGATTTATCACTGTACATACCTTTTCAAATGTTCATGGTTGCTAGGGGACTGAAAGTTAATAAATTGGCCCTAAGAAGGAATTTCTTTACATCATATTTGAATTTCTCATCTCTCTCTCCTAAGGCAGTTAGAAATGCTCTATTGGGAATCTAACCCATTCGTAAAACAGAATCATGGTCCAAAGCCATGGCAGAAAATGCAACCAACCAGGTCACTGCATTTGCTGTTTCCCTGTGAGACTCACATGGTTTGGGGAAGCAGGAAGGGCTTTGAAATAAGGTAGCCATGAGGTTGAATCCCATCTCTGCCAGTATGTTGCTGTATGACCATGGGTGAGTCAAGTCAATTTCTCAGACCTCCATTTTCTGAAATATGGGTATTAATACACATAATGTAACTAAAAGCTATTGAACCACCCCTGTGTGCAAGGCACTATTTTAAGTGCTTTGTTTGTGCAAACTCATTTAATCCTGACAGTAACTTGAGGAGGTGGGTACTATTTTTATCCCTATCTTGCAGCTGATAAAACTGAGGCACAAGTATCTTGCCCAGAGTCCTACAGCTAGAAAATAGAGGAGCAGAAGGTGCAAAAACAGGTATATTAATGGCAGAGTCAATGAGCTTAGCTTTTGTGAGTATAAACATATATAGGGAAGTGTTTGCTTGATGCATACACAGAAAAGAGTCACTAAATGTTAGTGCTCTTCTGTCCTTTTGAGTGAGGACTTTCTTCCTACCTCGCACAGTTGCAAGCTCCCCATCCACGTGAGCCATGCACTGCATGGCAGTAGCTCCAACGCATATTGGCATGCTGACCCTCTGTCCCAAAACAGAAGTCGACAGGTCTATTTCAGCAACATTCCGGAGCATCCGCGGATACAGCTTCCATCTAGAATTTTTAAAAAAGAGTTTCAGAATTTTAAAAGCATAACCAAGGCTTTGACATTACATTTTACTTTAAAAAGAGAAAACATTCCAGGGGCGCCTGGGTGGCGCAGTCGGTTAAGCGTCCGACTTCAGCCAGGTCACAATCTCGCGGTCCGTGAGTTCGAGCCCCGCGTCAGGCTCTGGGCTGATGGCTCAGAGCCTGGAGCCTGTTTCCGATTCTGTGTCTCCCTCTCTCTCTGCCCCTCCCCTGTTCATGCTCTGTCTCTCTCTGTCCCAAAAATAAATAAACGTTGAAAAAAAAATTAAAAAAAAAAAAAGAGAAAATATTCTTGTATTTTTCCCACCCAGCAAATAACAAAATTGAAGGAAAAGGGGCAATTTCAATGCTTGTTAAGATAGCATGTTAGCAATAAGATAATAATGAATTTCACAAGCTATCCTTCTTAGTGAGGTGTAGTTAACATATGTAGGATTCACCCACGTGAGTGTCCAGTTTGGGGAGCTTTGTCAAATGCATGCAGTCGTATAAGTGCCAAGACAATCAAGAACAGTTCACCATCTTTAAAAATTTCCCCATTTCCCTTAGCAGTGAAACTCTGTCTCCCACCAACCCTCTCACAACCACCGGTATTTTTTCTGTCCATATAGTTTTACTTCGCAAGAACATATAAATGGAATCATAAAGTATGTAGCCTCTTGAGTCTGCCTTCTTTCACTTAGCACAGTGCATTTGAGATTCATCCATGTTGCCATGTGCATCTATAATTTGTTCCTTTTGGTTGATGAACAATATTCTGCTGTACAGAAGTACCACAGTCTGTTTGCCCATTCCCCAGCTAAGAAATATTTGGGACATTTCCAGTTTGAAGCAATTTTAAATAGAGCTGCTGTAAACATTTATGTAAATGTTTTTGTGTGAACATAGCTTTCATTTCACTTCCTCCAGGTCATTTTGAAGATGGTATACAAAAACATGGATTAGATTATAATTTAAGAAGAGGGGTACCTGGGTGGCTCAGTTGGTTGAGGATCTGACTTTTGATTTTGGCTCTGGTCATGATCCCAAGGTTGTGGGATTGAGCCCTGAGTCAGGCTCCTCACTGAGAGTGGAACCTGCTTAGGATTCACACACATACACACACTGTCTCTCTCTCTCTCTCCCTCTCTCTCTCCCTCCCCTGCTGCCTCTCTCCCCAACTTGTGCACTTGCTCTCTCTCAAAAAAAATTAAAAATTAAAAAAAAAAGATAAATTATGTACAGTTTGTCCTTTTTGTTTATTGTTTTCCTTTTCAAATAACAGTAACTTCAGGTAATTACTTTTAAAATTTTAATGTGGTGCAGTGCCTGGGTGCCTCAGTCTGTTAAGCATCTGATGCCGACTCAGGTCATGATCTCATGGTTGGTGAGTTTGAGACCCAGGTCAGGCTCTGTGCTGACAGCTCAGAGCCTGGAGCCTGCTTTGGATTCTGTGTCTCCTTCTCTATCTGCCCCTCCCCCACTCGCACTGTCTCTCTTTCTCTCTCTCTCTCCAAATTAAGTAAACATTAAAAAAACTTAAAAAAATAAAATTATAATGTGGTTTCTTCAAAATTCTTAAACGGAAGTCAGTATCCACTGAAGTATGGTGATGAGGGAAGATAATTCTTTTTAGTTTAATTGTGCATTTTCTTCTAAAAGGGTATTTGGTAGAAACTGGACTTTTGGCTTGAAGAATTTTTGACTCCTGAACACGATCTTAAATGACTTTTCCTGCAATTCTTTTGTGTTGTAATGAAAACTATCAATAAACCAAGAACCAAGAACTTTACTAGCAAAATTTACAGGAGAACAAGTTCTCTTTCCTCTCAGCGAAATTTATATGTCCTATTTGTTCAGGATTATTTTTCTCATTAGTAACTCATTAGAACTGAAGAAGCCGTCTTTCTAATGAGCACTAAGAAACAAACATGTGTGTAACACATACATACATACCTAACCAGCCCTCACCTTTTATTACCTAGATTTTACTTTGCTTCCAGAGAGAACAAGATTTTTAGTTAATATACTGAAGTGTGATTTAGAAATGTAGTAACCAAAATAAATTGAACCTCCAAGGTCTTAACTGGAGCCTACTTCCTGTAGTGGAAGAAGAAATTCTGCCTTCATGTTGCTTTGGGTCTGTAATCTAACCCTTCCCCACATAATAAAGTAAAAACATCCAGCCCTTGAAAAGCATAATAAAGAAGTTTTACTGTGTGATTTCTCTGCAATTCCTTTGAACATCATAATTGTCATTATTTTCTGTCACACCACATGCTTTGCTGCTGGAAGTCTTTTCTTTTGGACTGACCCTCACAGCATGCTTCTTTGATCTCCATTTTGAAGGGGGAAAGGCAGAAGCCTTGAAGAGAGTTTTTATTACCAATCATCTCTAAGTGTATTATGAGAATGAGAGAAAACGATTTTAATAGCAGCTGTTGGCCTTGGAAGGCATTAATATTTACTTAGAGCTGAGGAAACAATGAAAGCTTTTATGAAGAGCACACACAGAGCTGCTGGGCATCGTGTGTGTGTGTGTGTGTGTGTGTGTGTGTGTGTGTGAAAGGACATTGTTAAATGTTAATTCCTATGTAGAAGGCAAGGCTCAACCCTTCTATCTCCAGACAGTAGCTTTATTTATGCTTGTCCACATGGTGGCGCAGTCCCTTTAATAACTGTGTTCTTGGCTTTCCCACACACATTATTTTCTGTTCTGACGGTGACATTACGGAGACTCACCAACCAATGCACAAAATGCAAGTTTCAGGCAAAATTATATAAGATCGATGCAGTGGGAAGTGTATGTTCTCTAAAAAGTTTTCCATTTTTTTATATTTTCCAAAGAACAATTACAACTAACCTTGTCAAGTAGTTCCAATAGCTTTCCGAGTCCCACCTGACTCCACCCCCAATAGAAGTGATTTTTTTTTTTTCACAGTCTTACATCAAATAGTAGCTGAATGTAACCTTGGACTGTGCTCTTATGAGACCTCCACTTTGGAAAAAGGATATGAAGATGGACAAAACAATTGAACCAATCAAATAATAAACCTCTTTCGAAGGATGGAAAATAACATGACCGAGTAAAGGAAGTAGGGGGTAAAGGTGGGGATCTTTTCACAGAACTTTTGACCCACCCTTCACATCCAACAAAAGCCTCACATTTAACTTACAAAAAAATCTGGTGATGTATACACTCCCCAAGATGGGATACTGTATTTGAAGGAAGACACTTATCACCCAGCTGTAAAGCCAAGTGCTATTACTGAATCCCATCAACTGAACACAGTGAATTAATGTTTCATAAGTCTGTAAGATGATCATACTGCAGTCCAATTTCTTCACATTAATTGTTTAAACTATTTAAAGCAAATAAAATGTATGTAAATACGTATACAAAACACAATTTTTGTAATCTTATTTTTAAAACATTTTTAAGTTTTTTTTTTTTTTTTTAGAGAGACAGAGAGAGAAGGAGAGCAGGGGAGGGGCAAAGAGAGAGGATCCCAAGCAGGCTCTTCACAGTCAGCACAGAGCCCAACTTGGGGCTCAAACTCTCGAACATTGAGATCATGACCCAAGCCGAAATTGAGAGTCCGACGCTTATCCGACTGAGCCACCCTGGCGCCCTTGTAATCTTATTTTTTACCCTTCATTCTTAATATCGTGACATCTTTAAAACATTTAATTGGGGGGCGCCTGGGGGGCGCAGTCGGTTAAGCGTCCGAGTTCAGCCAGGTCACGATCTCGCGGTCCGTGAGTTCGAGCCCCGCGTCGGGCTCTGGGCTGATGGCTCAGAGCCTGGAGCCTGTTTCCGATTCTGTGTCTCCCTCTCTATCTGCTCCTCCCCCGTTCATGCTCTGTCTCTCTCTGTCCCAAAAATAAATAAAACGTGAAAAAAAAAATTAAAAAGAAAATAAAACATTTAATTGGATCACTATCAACCTGTGAGGCACTGCAATAAAGGAATAATGACATCACTTTATCACCTGTTATGTAAAAGAAAATCACCCCATTTTCAGTGTCAATAAGTGACACAACAGAAAAGAAAGGAGCTCCATTTTCTAACTTCATCAGGACTTCTAGACACCCAAATTATAGAATTAAGTTTCCACTAGTGATGATTTCACCAGAAGCCACAAAGTGCAGACCATGGTTGAGAAGGATACACTGAGTTAATGTGTAAGAGAAACAACATACTGTGTGTGTGTGTGTGTGTGTGTGTGTGTGTGTGTTTAACTCCAATCAGGTCATGATGATTCCAATCATGCAAAATGTTGCAAGCTAACACCTACTGTTCTCGAAATGTTTACAATAGGTAACTTTGTTCTTCAGTATGGTTCCATCTATTTGACTTCATGTGTCTTTTTGTATTTTATTTTATTTTATCAGTTTTTAGCCATGATAACATTAGAGTCGCAAGTCTTACCCCAGAAACGTTTACAAGCAACTGCTAGGTCACATAAGTGAGCCATATCCCCAAAACTCAAAAATGTGATTGTCAGAGCTGAGCACAGAGAGATAACAGCTGTCACTGTGAATGACCTTTTGTTGTGCTTGTGGGAGGGAAAGTGTACACATTTCATAAATGTCTTTAAAATGCCCTGACACTGTGTCACAACAGGTTATCTGAGGTTTGGTTGTTTTGCAGTCTTCATTTGAATCAGAATGAGAGAGTTCAGATTGATTTCTTTCATCCCGTCAACCCAAAGCCACCACAACTCTGGCAGAAAATCTATTCTTAGTTCCATGTGATCAGCTCAATGATACAAGGTGAGGAATGAAGGGTCACCCAGAAAGTTACACAAGAAAAGAGGAATTGAGGTGTTAGATAAGCAATGGCCGCTAACGTTTGTTGCAATATAAAAACTCTTCAAGTGGTTGATCATAAAATAGCATCAGCCAACCTCCAGAGAAAGTTGATTAATCCATGTTTTTTCCCTTTCAAGCTGAACAAAAAGGAAAGATCAAGGTGCATGGAAAGGATGGCATTGCAAACTCTTTCTCATTATCTGTGCTCTGTCCTGAAGTTACTGAGTACATGCACAGGGTGGGAATACTTACTGGAGTACCATGAAACCCACACAAGCATGAGGCACGCTTCCAGTCCACAACTTGGAACTCAACAATGCCTTCCATGTCTGACAAAGCTTCCAGAATTTCTAGGGTTGCAGAGGTGCCTGTATGTGCTGCACCCCTTTGCTCTCTCTTTAAGGCCTCTACTAGGCCAGTTGTTCGGGGTACATTTTGCATCAATTCAACCCACCAGCATTACGGAAGTCAAAGGTCAATGTGCATCCATTGGACTGTAAGCACCTATGAACAGAAGCTTTGTCCGGCTCATTGCTCTATCCTCAGCATGTAGTATAGAACCTAGCCTATAGAGATTCCTAATAAGCATGAGTCCATTAATTAAGTAGCATGAGCGGAAGGGTGTTAAAGGGGGTTTGAGGAAATAGATGGTCACCTGAGCATTATGACATAAGAAATGCAAGGAGACACCAACTCCATACACCTGTCAAGGGCCTGAAATTTCCTTGGTTAAAATAACCTTTTTGGGTTAAAGGATTGTTTTCAGGAGATTACAAGGAAGTAAGCCATATTACCCGGTGAACGGACCTGCTATTGGGCCCAGGAAGGGACATCTTCCAGGAACAGAAAAGTTTGGAGAGGCCCAGAATGTTAAATGATTGAAAAAGATCATACAGAATTTTAAGCCCCTCCACTCTTAGCCAAATTTTCCCTTTCTGTGGCTCTTCCAGCATTGGTGGAGCTCATGTGGGTTCCAGGGAAGACCTGAGACAAAGTCAAGGCTTAGAGAAGTTTGGGGGAGGCCCCATCCTTCACCCCATTCTCAGACTCCTGAGAGTACATCGGTGCTGTTTGCCAGGGACCACCTTGGTTAGAATCATCTCATTTTTCCTAATTTACACATAGAAAAGTGATTTTTGAGAGATTTTGCTCTAGACAGAAGAAGCCAAGCAGGAAAGCAGATTCTTTCTTCTGGATATTTTCTACCCTTTTTCTTTAATTTATCACCATCAATGAACACCCACAATATTCACTAGCTTTACTAAAGGCTATAATGTAAGATGGATGAGTTTGAGAGAGTATAGTGTATGGAGGGTTCTCCTCTCCTACTCCAGCAAATAAACCATTTTGTAACTGCTGAGAGAAAAACACTCCTTTAAAGTTATTTTGTTTATTGTTTTTATTACAAACAGAAAACATAAACCATGACACCTACCATCTTGTGCTTTGAAATATGAAAGGCAAGGGAAAACTAATTTGGAAACAGAGGTAGGTGAAGCACTTTGGATGATGGATGAAGCAGCAACGTTGAAAGATTAATGTTATATAGACAAATTGAAATCTAAAGTGAAAGTTGAGACAACAATAATCAAAATGAATGATAAGGGAAAGCCAGCAGGATGGGAACATTTGAGGCAACAATCCGATCTGGTTCAACCAGATAAGATGGCTATCTTGAACCTAGTGCTAACCGCTTCCTACACCATGCTCATAGACCCTCACTGTCCAACTCAGAGAAAAAGAAAGTAGAGTCTTTAGAATGCATCACTATTTTTATACATAGTCAAATTAATTATCCACATAATTCCATGTGAGGACAATTAGGGTTGGCTTTTTCAGTCAATGGTTTGAGATTCCCAGGCTTGGGATATTTTTAAACAGTTTGATAGCCCAAAATTTCTCACAGCCCCAAGAATTGTTCCCTCTCTACTAAGCATCTATCTAGACGGATAATTTCACATCAACAACATTAAAACCTGAGGTCTTATTTTGGTAGTATGTCTTCGTGTAATTACACAAAACATGATTTAAAAATAAATAAATTTTCTTACCTGGAAAATGCTGCAACATTATCAGCCAATGTTTCCTGATCATTTGCCCCAGACCTGTAATAGTCATATACAGACTTCTGAAGTACTGATTTAGCATGTTGTTCATAATCACTGATACAAACTAACCGGGTAAACATTTTCACAGTTTATTCCAAACCCAAGATTTGGGATTTTTTTTCCTGCATAGCATTCTATATCTTGATAATTTCACTATCTGTTAATTATTAATAGACTTTTTCCAAAGTTCAGATTTATTTCTCTGTTGCTTACATTAAGTGAGCAAATATGTGCTTAGATTTTGCAATTTCATGTAACAGCTGTCTGCCAAAATGCAGCCACATCTAAGCCATGAGGAGGGCCTGGGGAGGAGCAGAAGGGGATTAGCTGTTATATCAAAACTGAAGGATATAGAGAAGTACTTGCATGACCCCTCTTGGCTCAGTTCTAACTAAGGCTGCTTCTTTCACACAATATGTATGTTTGCACTTTGCTTGGAACCTAGAATGGGCTGCCGGCTCAGTTTTCTTCCACATTTGGACCATGAACATATCATGTGACAAAGAGCTTATAGAATGGAGGATCTGTAAAAATAGGGTCTCTATGTAATACGATTTCAGCTGATTACAAAAATTTGGCTTTAGCAAGGAACAGTAAGCCCACATTTAACAGCTGATTCTTTAATGTTTATTTATTTCTTTTGAGAGAGAAAGGATATGCACGTGTGAGTGGGGGAGGGGCAGAGAGAGAGAGAGGGAGCGAGAGAATCCCAAACAGGCTCCACACTGTCAGCACAGAGCCCAACAGGGGACTTCATCCCATGAACGTTGAGATCACCCTTGAGATTACAACCGAGCTAAAATCAAAAGCTGGATGCTCAATAAACTGAGCCACCAGGCACCCCTACAGCTAATTTTAAAGAGTCTTGTCTCACTCTGGGGAATATGTAGAGAGGTGCCATTCCAAAGACCTTGTGGTCTCCATCTAAAATTTCACTCAATCATGGAATACTTGGGGGAAGATTTGAATTAGAAAAAAATGGCTTTGACATCAGTCAGACCTGGGTTTCAGTCCAGGAGTCTCCAATTTAAGCTGCTCACCAGCCATTCAGCAGCTGCATTCCAACTGCCTGTCTCTGCACAAGAATGTTCTCTTCAACTTGGACCCTACTTTTCTATCCACTTGTCATTCCACAGTGCTATGGAGTCAATGCTCTAAGGGACAGCCCTCCACCAAGTCTTCAATCAAAGACTCAAGGGAGCTGGTACATAAATACCCATAAATACCCCTCCTTGGTGTGTATTCTCTGTTGCAGCCTTCAGTTGCCCACAGTATGAGTTGGTTGCTAAACCACCGTGTGGCCTCACTTTCCTACCCCTTAATTTAATTAAAAGCTTTAAGCTGTCAGGATTGGGCATTGAATTGAACATAGGTTCATTCCCAAAGTACTTTTTGCATCAGTGTGGCAATAGGTAAAATGACATTAAAATTGTTATTGGAATGGGATGCCTGGGTGGCTCAGTTGGTTAAGCATCTGTCTTTGGCCTAGGTCATGATCTTGCTATTCCTAAATTGGAACCTTGCGTTGGACTCTGTGCTGACAGCTCAGAGCCTGGAGCCTGTTTCAGATTCTGTGTTTCCCTCTCTCTCTCTATCCCTCACCTCTTATGCTCTGTCTCTCTCTCTCAAAAATAAACATTAAAAAATTTTTTAATTGCTATTGGAATGTAAACATCTGTTAATATGATAAGAGAGTCCTACAAAACATAACTCAATTTTATAGTTACTGAAGTTACTGAGAAAGTTGACTAAGGAATCTTAATTCTGCTAAGAATTAATTCAAATTTTGCAGATTAAAATACATTTTCATTACAGTTTTTTTTTTAACGTTTATTTATTATTTTTGGGACAGAGAGAGACAGAGCATGAACGGGGGAGGGGCAGAGAGAGAGGGAGACACAGAATCGGAAACAGGCTCCAGGCTCTGAGCCATCAGCCCAGAGCCCGACGCGGTGCTCGAACTCACGGACTGCGAGATCGTGACCTGGCTGAAGTCGGACGCTTAACCGACTGCGCCACCCAGGCGCCCCTTCATTACAGTTTTAATAATTGTTAAAACTGTAAGCACCTTGTTTTTGTTTTTTGTTTTTTGTTTTTTTTTTTGCATCTCTCATCCCTGAAATGCCGCCAGATCAACACTAAACCATCTTGCACACCTAGGAAACTTATTTGAGGATTAACACAACAATCTGCACAACCTGAACCATAGAATTTGGCAGGTATGCAGTGGGGAGAGGTGAACTGGGGGAAAGAGAAGCCGCAGAGGGCAGGGAGCTGTTTTTGCTTGCAGAAAGAGAACAGAGACAGGGTGGGGGGGGGGGGGGGGAGGAGAGTATGGGAAAAGCACCCCCCAACCCAAAGCAGATGGAGAGAAAGTGGAAAAGTGGAAACAGCTACAAGGACTGAACAAAAAAAGGGAGAAAAGAGAAAGTAGAGGTTTAAATTCCATTAAGACTCTATAAACAGGGGGAGTGCAAAGTCTGAAAGTCCACAGCTCATACCTGGTGGTGCTCTGGTGGGAAGGGTGAATCCACAGGAGGAGAGAATGAGGTCCAAGTGGCCCTTGGGCCATACGGGGAGAGGCAGTTCCCCTGCTGGGAGGACATTTGGTAGAGGCTGTGTGGCCACCCCACAATCATAGGTTCCAGCACACCCCAGGGAACAACCACATTCGCTGGTGTTGGAACAAGGATGTCAAGGGTGATACCTGGCACCAGATGTGTGCTGTGATTTTCCATAAACACTGAAACACTGCTTGGTAGCTGGGTAATGCCATTTTCACCCCTCCGGAGTATGCGCATACTTGCCCCCACCCAACTGGGCCTACAATGCTCTTGACAAAGTCTCTCCACCTGCTTAGTTTATGGACTATAAAGTGCTTCATAGCTTGACATCTATGGGAAAACAGATGTAATTTCAATCGTACTTCATTCTGTTCACTGGTCCTTTTATTCAATTTTTTTTTCTTTTTCTTTTTCTTTTTCTTTCTTGAATACAGAAAGCGAAAAATCTATTATCTTCCATTTTTATTAAAAAGATTTTTCCTTAATTTTGTTCTACTACATTTTTTACTTTTTTGTAAATTTTTAAAATTATATTTTACTTTCATCATTTCATTTTATTCTATTTTTTCAAATTTTCAAACATTTTCCTTTTTTCCCTTTTTTCTTTTATCTTTTATTTCCTTTCTTATCTTTCCCTTTTTTCTCTAATCTATCAAGCTTCTTTCAACAACCAGACCAAAACACACCTAGGATCTGGTACCTTTTATTTGATTTCTTTGTGTTGTTTTTAATTTTTTTACCTTATTAATTCCTTTTATTCCTCCAAAATGATGAAATGAAAGAATTCACCTCAAAAGAAAGAACAGGAGGAAATGATAGCCAGGGATGTAATCAACACAGATATAAGCAGATGTCTGAACTTGAATTTAGAATCACTATAAAAAGAATACTAGCTGGGATTGAAAATAGATTAAAATCCCTTTCTGCACAGATGAAAGAAGTAAAAGCTAGTCAGGATGAAATAAAAATTGCTATAACTGAGCTGCAATCTCGAATGCATGCCACAGTAGCAAGGATGCATAAGGCACAGCAGCAAATCAGCAATATAGAGGACAAACTTATGGAGAATAATGAAGCAGAAAAGAAGAGGGAGACTAAAGCAAAGAGATGAAATAAAAATTAGAGCACTCAGTGACTCATTAAAAAGGAACAACATCAGAATCATAGGGGTCCCAGATGAAGAGAGAGAAAAAATGGTAGACAATTTATGTGACCAAATCATAGTAGAAAACTTTCCTAATCTGGGGAAACACACAGACATCAAAATCCAGGCAGCACAAATGATTCCCATTAGATTCAACTAAAACTGACCATTAATAAGGCATATCATAGTCAAAGATCACAAAATACTCAGGCAAGGAAAGAATCATGAATGCAGCAAGGGAAAAGAAGTCCTTAACCTACAAGGGAAGATAAATCAGGTATGAAGTAGACTTAGCCACAGAAACTTGGCAGGCCAGAAAGGAATGGCAGGATATATTCAATGTGCTGAATCAGAAAAATATGCTGCCCAGAATTCTTTATCCAGCAAAGCTGTTATTTAAAATGGAAGGAGAGATAAAGTTTCCCAGACAAACAAAAATTAAAGGAGTTTGTGACCACCAAACGAGTCCTGCAAGAAATTTTAAGAGGGACTCTCTGAGGGGAGAAAAGATGAAAAAACAAAAACAAAAGCAAAAACCAAAAAAAAAACCCCAAAACCCCCAAAACCCCCAAAATCCAAAAGCATCAAAGACTAGAAAGCACCAAAAAACACTACCAGAAACTCCAATTCTACAGGTGACATAATGGCAATATATTCATAACTTTCAGTACCCACTCTAAATATCAACGGGCTGAACACTCCAATAAAAAGACACAGGGTAACAGAATGGATAAGAAAACAAGATGCCTCTATATGCTGTTTACAAGAGACCCATTTTAGATCTGAAGTCACCTTCAGATTGAAAATAATGGCATGGAGAACCATCTATCATGTTAATAGTCACAAAAGAAAGCCAGAGTAGCCATATTTATATCAGACAATCTAGATTTTAAAATAAAGACTGTAACAAGAGATGAATAAGGGCATTATATCATAATTAAGGGGTCTATCCACCAAGAAGACCTAACAATTGTAAACATTTATGCTCTAAACATGAAAGCACCCAAATATATAAATTAATTAACCACAAACATAAAGAAACTCATTGATAATAATACCATAATAGTAGGGGATTTCAACACCCCACTTACAACAATGGACAGATCATCTAAACAGAAAATCAACAAGGAAACAATGGTGTTGAATGACACACTGGACTGGAGGTACTTAACAGATATATTCATAACATTTCATCCTAAAGCAGCAGAATACACATTCTTCTCCAGTGCACATGGAACATTCTCCAGAATAGATCACATACTGGGACACAAATCAGCCCTCAACAAGTACAAAAAGATCGTGATCATACTGTGCATATTTTCAGACCACAACGCTATGAAACTCGAAATCAACCACAAGAAAAAATTTGGAAAGATAACAAATACTTGGAGACTAAAGAACATCCTACTA